AGAACGTACGTACCTGGCCCCGCCTACTATCCTCGGAAACGTAAAATGATTGGCTAGAATCTAAAGTGCATCACAGCTCAGGGGGGAAAAAAAGCACCAAAATGTGCGCTGCTTTTCAGTCTGGTTACTACTGTTTGTGTCAGAACCGGTGCCATCATGTGTCACGGCGGGGTGCGCCGATGTGTGATGAAACAGGACCCAAAAGCAGATGAGGACGAGGAGTTTATAAGTTTGAACAGAAAAGTGATCCTTTAATGACAACGGCAAGGGAAAACCAGGAAACCAAAGCAAACTGGCAAAACACTAAGAAACAAAACACTAAAGGTACTAAGACCAAAAACTATAACTGTGGTGGAAAATAACAGGCAAAGACTATGACTAATGTAGAACTGACAGACGAAAACCATAACTATGACTGAGCGTGAGGAAAACTAACTAAGACTAAGGTCAAAATAAACAGACGACCCGACAATGGCATGCAGAAAACAAAGGGCTTAAATACATACATGAGGTGATCAGGGGAAGTGGAGACACATGGGGGAACAGCTGACTGACATAAACCTAATGACAGGACCAGGAGAGGAAAGCTAAATACAATGAACAAAGAACACATGACACTGTCAGAATAAAACAGGAAACACTAAAACTAAACATGACAGCACAACTTAACAGACCTAATACGTGATAAATAAATACAAAACCCCAAAACATAGAAAACCCAGGAACAATAACTGCCTAAACTAAAGGCAAATAGGAAATAACACAAAAACTAATAACATATCAAAAAATAAGAAAAATACAAAGAAAACTTTGAGTGCTGGGTCGGAGACCCAGCCTGTGACATCATGGCACCGGATACTGGTACCCATCCCTATATCTGACCCAGATAGACTGCCGCCTCGGGTCTCTGCTCCTCCTGCCTTTCCGTCATCCACCTGCCATCGTGTTGCATATGCTGGATTCCACCACTTGCTAATGTTACTGAATCTGTGGAAGCTCCACAATAGCCACCACCAAACAACAAGTTATTTTTTCACATCTCCCATCATCTGGCCAATCCACCACCTTTCAGTGTTTATACCGTTACGGAAAAAAACGAAAAAAACAAACAAAAAACGCTTGGCCCATAAAAACGAAAAATCACCATCGGACATACCAGTCCAGCTATGACTGGAGGCCAAGGTAATGCCATCCAGGGTAAGAATCTGGTTAGATACCATATTTCTAAGCTTTTCAGGGCCGAG